TGGTTTATTTTAAGTGTGAAACAAAGCTATCCAAATGATAATCCTGCATCACCAGTCATAATCTTGGTAAACTTGAAAAATGTTGGTCGATTTTTACCATCAATTATGCACATTACTGTAAAGTATACCGACATTAAACCTCTTGATATTTCTTAAAATAAAGTTATAGTTTCAGAAATTGCAATCAAATTTCCAAGTTTATGATATTATTCATATTATCACATAACAAACAAATGACGATTGGTAATGTAGAAAAGATAAATTCATGAGTTTTTGTTTCATTTTGATGTATCTTCAATGTGTCTCACCTTAGTTGCTACCATAACGTGGTGGTCGGGTTTGTCTCATGATGACTCAGTAGAGCTACATTGATCGAGAAACTTGTTCTTTTAGGTTCTACCATGCTAAGCGATAGTTTAATGGCTTTAAGGTGTTCGACTTTTAGCCGCCAAGTTCCGAATTCAAGCCCCGCTCCATCTACTTCAATCTCGGCAACCAAATAGTATCATTAGCCTCTCACATATAGATTGTGGCTCGTACCCGAATCATCAAGTGTGTACAGTCTTCCCACAACGAAAGAGGGAGGTTAGGCAAGGTCAACCCTTGAAATATTTGAATGACAACTACTCAGTATTTGTTTTACTGGGAGAAGTACATATTATGCCATACGAAAATAGTATATATATATGGTTCGTAGTGTGAATAAGCTGACCAAATCAGATACTTTGGGATTGAATAGTAGAGTTTAGTTATCTATAGTTCACATAATATTAAAGTTTCTTTAGTTGTTGGCTATAGTACTCTGATCATCATCCTTTTGCAGTCACAATATTACAAAGAATATTTTTTACCATCTGTTCATCATAGGTTTTTCTTAGCTTTGACTAGATATATGTTGTTATCAATCGGTAATATTTCATTATCTTTTTGTATATATATATATATATATATATATATATATATATATATATATATATATATATATATATATACATTCTAGTTGAATCGGATCGATTTCATTTGTCGTGCACATCAATTAGTTATGGAAGGTTATCGTTGGCATTTTCATGAAAGTGTTCTTACTGTATGGTCTGCTCCAAATTATTGTTATCGTTGTGGTAATGTTGCCGCTATTTTACGTTTAAATGAAAGATTAGACAAGGAATTTTCCATATTTGAAGCCGCACCACAGGTAATTCATATGCATATTTATATTCCACTGTCATATTACATACAAATCGAACTGTAGTCATTGTAGGATACAGCGATTCAATTTTATTGATCGATAAATTCCGCATAATCAACACGTTTAATGAGTAACAATAGCAGTACGCTTTTTTATGTTTTGATGTAAAGTATTTTGAAGACTAGTCAATCAATTTATAATATGATTCTAAAAGTAGTCATATGGGTTATAGACAATTATTATTATTATTACTATTATTATTATTTAAACACATAAACAATGGTACAAGGAGGCACCAAATAGGTATGCGCCACATAAGTCATTCTATTTGTGTGAGGGCCGAGATACTGCACGGGTGCCCAGACCGAAGCAGGTAAGTTTCTTAGGGGACCATACCCCGAGCCTTGGACCTAAAGGTCTGACCCACATGGCAATGGAGCATCGTGAGGAGATGCAGTCCCATGATAGCCATTGACCAACGATTGGTTCATACGCCATTTGTTCCCGTAGGATACTGGAGCCCATGTGCACCATTGTTTTGGAATCCGGTTAAAGCGCCAGACATTCGCTTTTCGTCTTCCCAATTTCGTAATTAACACCCCCGATACGAGAAGGTAGTGAGTAGTACTTCCCTGGCAAAGGCTGTATACGGGTGGCCGTGTGAGAGCATTTCGAGAGGGAGGGCTGGCCCACCCCACTCTCGGCCGTACCAGGGCATTTGGGGGCTATAGACAATAAATTTTCCAAATGAAATTTCTTAAGATATTTCTCCTATAAATTCATTAGGTACTAAGTGTTTGTTATGAATACCATCTTGGTTAAAACGATGAATAGAATGCTACTGATCATCATATAATGTATATTGATATGATGCAATCAACTGATAATTATTCACAAGCCTGAGTTACTAACACAAGTTCCATAACATAATTTATATTAGTAAAAATGGCATACGAAATATATGTTTATAGGTCACCAAACATATGGGGAATACAATTTTTTTTTAGTTTATTCACGTGACATTCAAAGGATGGTCTGATAATAGGACCTAATTATTGTTTATCACTCTACATTTCTCATGAAATAAGATAGTAACTGTTTATGACAATCTGTTTTTTTTTAAAATTTACTTTACGGCTGCGAAACGTGACCATTAAAAGTTGAAGATATTCGTAAGCTGCTAGTAATTGACCACAGATGCCTTAGAAATATTGCTGGCGTCTGTTGGGATCACCGGGTAAGTAATAGTGAGGTTCGACGCAGGGTATTAGGGAATGATGGTAAATCAGTTGATGAGGTTGTTAATCTTCATCGACTGAGATGGTTGGGCCACGTGTTACGTATGCCTGAACACCGATTACCGCGAAGTGCAGTGCTAACGGGTGTTAGAGATGGTTAGAAGAGAATTAGGGGCGGCCAAACCAAAACGTGGCATCAGACCTTTAAGTCACTAACTTCTAGTCTGAGCCATGTTGGTAGATGCAGACTACTTGGTTGGGGTCTGCGTGACTATCTTAATCAAGGGTCCGAGACTGTGACAAGGCTTAGAATCGATCACGATGGCGTAGGTGTATACACCGTTTGTCTTCCTTTAAACTGTGAGATTTAAAATAGCTTTATATCTTTCTACTAACTAATTCTTTCTTCCTTATATGCAATCTTTCATATATTACACCATTGAGTTAACTGCTTCTATGAATCCGGTGTTCGTCTTGCTGTGGTAATGAGGTGTGGCAACTTAGACCGATACATATATGTGCCTGGTCCTACGTTGTAGCTGTTTTTTTTAAAATTTGGTTTCTCTTTATAAATCATGATGCTACTGATTCAAATCTCATCAAAGGAATCTTGTGTCACTACTTGATTTTCACATCTCCATTGATCCCTCAATCTATGTGGAAAACTTGCTACATTTATAGCTTCTAAGGTCTGATTAGTTGTCGACTCAGATGAAAATTAAAATGCCTAAACCCTAAAGTTAATTAACTTCTTGGAAGTGCTGACATCTATGCTCTACCATATACATTTTTATGTACTCGCTTAATTCTACGTTGTAGCTGACTGACTCGTCTTTAATATCACTGTAATTGTGTAAAGGTTGTTCATACTCTTCAGCTTTGTTGACAGCGACTAATCTTTATCACCCTTTCAGTTAGTGCGCTTCGGTTTAGATTTAAAATAAGATCACCTTAACAGGGTATTTTTCATGAAAGGATAATCAGTTGATAAAATATCCCAATAACTATTGTTAACGAATAAATAATTTAGTATAAAAACTGAACCTCAAATTTCAACTGATTAAAGTAGTACAAGTATAAGTTAGTTATCAAGCAATTAATAAAGATCAGAGGGAAACCGATAAGATTGCAATTGTGTCCATCATCTCAAGTGTATTATTCGTAATAGGGTAACTTATCAAACTAGTTTCTAGTTATTTGCCACATCATATCAACTTGGAAAAACTTGTCTACTGAGTGACCCAGCCGCTCGTAGTTACTGATACGTCGACTATGTTGTTGACTAGAATTGTAAACCCGTTTCTCATGACATTTCTACAATACCAATGCACTTTTTTGGCATCAGCTGATTAGCTACTTGTGATTGGAAATTCATGTATAACAAGTTTATGTAGCTCTGAAAGTGCTATAATCCAAGTCATTATAATTAGTCGTCCTTCACATGCAACAACTGTTACTTGTAGAATTTTAGGAATCACGACACATTGATTATGTTCAGAATGTTAGACAACAGTTAATCGGCAACATTGTTATAACCGGCAGTCGTTACTTATTTGTATTTCCTGTCGAAATTACAGCTCGATGATGCTGTTACCCAACATTTTATTTGCATGGTCCTATCGACTGAGGTTCTTAATTCATTGTACTGGGGATTTTTTGACACTAAGAAACAGCTTTTTCTGTCAGGAGTTCCTCACACGATCCATATTAGAGAGTTTACATGTCACTTAAAATCTATCTTTATCACCCTTCTGCTTGATCGGAGTAGATAAAAGTAACATCAGATATAGATATCCATTCCACATTTTTCCTCTTTGACCGATGTAAGGCGTACCAGTCATTAACCGTTTTATCAAGCATCGATCTTTCATAACAAGTTTTTACGACATTCAAGCAGGCAACAATAAAAGCCCCTACTTCATTGGTTGGTATAATTCAAAAAAAAACTTTGTCTCCAAGTCATCTTCTTGAACCGTAAAGCATTTCCTATAGCTTACTCCCGAGTTTTGGGGCTCCATGTCCCGTGAATTAGGCCACACATAGACGTCTCATGCTTTACAAATAATGTAACCTTATTGTATAAGAAGGGTATCCTGCTAGAGTTTATAGCTAGAAGAATTTCTGTAGATTGCTTGGTAATAATGGTCTTCATTTTTTATCATAACTTTATTACAGGATGTCCGGAGTATACCAGCTCGTCGACCAATACCAGACTATTTCCTTTGAAGCATATGAAACAAAGTCATTTTGTTCTCAGTGATGATGATGATGATAATTACTGTTATTATTTCCCTTGTTTATAAGCCCTTCTCACCCCCTTTTGTCAATTTTTGTAATTTTACTTCTATTTATCAGTGTGTTTTATAAAATGTATTTCTTCCCCCCTTCTCAATACTCAACTATTCCAAGATTCATTCATGCATTGTTTACAACTTTTGTTTTGATACCCACAGTCAAACAAATTGCATTCTACTAAGTTTTTTATTATTATTATTATTAAACGTGGAAGGAGTTTCTATTTGTGTATAAAAATATCCATTTGGAAAAAGAGAAAGTTTTCTTTAAAGAAAATAACGTATATATATATATATATTATTGTTCATTAGATGTAAATTATACTGAATATGCAAAGTATAAATAAAAGAAAAGAAAAGAAATTAATGTCTCAGGGAATCATCATCTGTCTTCTTTTTCTTCTTGTTTTTGTTGTTTCATTTTACCATTGTGCATTTCTTAATTCAGCAACTAATTTAATAAAATCACGATGACTTGCATAAAGTTGTAGATCAGAATTAATATCTGTCCAACGTACAGCATCTGCATCATCACCTATTTGATTATGATAATTTAGGGGGGGGATTAAGAAAGATATTTTCTCTTTTATTTCACTGGTAAATTTGTTCGTTTACCAATAAGTAATAAATGCAAGTTATATGGACCGTTGGAAGAGGAGGGATATTTATTTTCAGAAGGGGTTTGGAGATTTTTAGAAATTTTCACAGATTGAAATCATGAGTCAGTTGAAGCTAGACCATCATTGAAAACCTGGAAGCACTAGACGGCCGTTTCGTCCTAGTATGGGACTCCTCAGCAGTGCGCATACACGATCCCGCACCACGCGGGGCTTGAACCCAGGACCTACTGGCTTCGGGCGCGAGCACTTGACCATTAGACCACTGAGCCGGCATCCAACGGTGTTAATGTCTAACTTCAACCAATCCATGAAGTTGCGCCACCATATACCATTGTCTTCAGTGAGCTGATATCTCAAAACAGACCTGGTTGTACTCCACTGGTAACGGCATCCCACTAGAACTCCAGGAGTATCTCTTGAAGTCAGTCACTAGTGAGCAGATGATTATTATCCTACTGCGTACCACTAAGGATGAGTGTAGGTATAGGCTTCTGCCAGTCTCGTAAAATTACTTTGCACTTAAAAGGTGCAAGGCACATACTGTCCTTGCGGACACCGACTGACGAAGTGCAGATTACGTGAAATCATCTCAAAGCCGAAAGATCTATCTGCAGGTAACTGACCCGCACCATTATCTATTTTTGTCAGAGTTATTTGCAGAATGCGATTGACGGCAAAGTCGAAGGAGAATACTGAGATCGGATAACACTGTCTAACCCGACTGCTTGGATGGGGCAACAGAGAGAGGTGGTAGTGAAGAGGCTTCAAGATGTTAATAAACTCTCCAGATGTGTTGGAGAAGGGGACATGCCTGTGGCTAAGCGTAGTGCAGCGGCAGCTCAGTGGTTCGACTTCCAGCCACTAAGTCTCGGGTTTAAACTCCGCCCCTCTACTGTGGTTCGAGCAACAGGGTGGTATTACTACCTCACAACTACGTATATGGGTTAGTGAGTGAAAAATAACCAGAATTGAACGGTAGGTCTCATTCAAACAATGTGGTTAAGTTTAAATTAGCATATACATGCGCTTGGGATGGAAGCTGCTGCTACACAGACCACAGATGTGGTTATTATTGAATAAGTAGTAAGCATAGTGCTAACAGGCTGAAAATCAACTGAAAAACATTGGTTTATGAAATATTTTCAACGGCCAGGATTTTTGGAACCGGTTTTTGAAAATATTTGAAAATGAGAATCAGATTACGAAAGCATTGTCAACGTAGACCCTCTGAACCTTATCACTAACCCTCAGTCATATACATAGTCCATAAAAGAATGATCAAGATGTAAATGAAGAAGTTTGACAGTGTTTTAATCACGGTATTTTTCTAAACACCACTTGACTGATGTATACACAGTGTATGGAAATGATCACCAAACTTACATCCCACTGGAAAGAGTCTGACGTATATTTTATGACAACGCTATTTGTTGAGGGTAGTGGACATAGGATTGGAAGTTGAATTTAGGAAAGAAAACTAACGGTAAATCAATGTTTAACAGACTACCGCTTAATTGCTATGTTATTATTGTAGATATTGTTTAACAGGTTGAATACGATAGTTTGAAACTAAGAATAACATCAAAAATAAATAAAACTGAACATGATCTACCTGCAGTTAATGGAAATAACGCTAGACAATTGCCAACTTCATCGTGAAAATTTACTGCTACAGTTTCCATCCATGCATTATCTGTATTACGTGGATCATCCACATAACCCTTATAAATCTATATCAAGGTATACATTAATGAGAGATTAAAAGAAAACCCTGTAAATTATGAATATTTATCATCAGTGAATAATTTACAAAATGATAATGATTCAAAATACTTTGTTGAAAAAACGTTTGGTAAAGTACTGGTTAAATCTTATTAGAAGGGATTTTGTGGATATTATAGTAATTTTGGTAGTTGAGATCATGAGTCAATTGAAGCTAGATCACCATAGAAAAGTTGAAAGCACTGGACGGCCGTTTCGTCCTACTATGGCAGTGCGCATCCACGGTCCCACCTCGCCAGATTTGAACCCAGGTTTATTGATATGTCCTCACATGAGATGATACAGAAGAGAAAGGCGTAGTATGTTGGAGAAGTTTAGACGGCTCATATGCTATTGGAAGGTTTGTGGAGGATTTTGTGTGAATGAGAGGATTATTTGTGTAGACAGATTGATTACCCACATATTCCTGTCTGCATTAGTCTAGTATCGTACATAAACGCATAGCTTGTGTAAATTTACTGTCTAACTTTCGGCCTCTAATGAACTGTTAGTCTGTGTAAGTGTTAGGAAACATTGAACAGTCGAACATAACAATTGAATATCTAGTTAATATAAACAAGTGTCAGTTGGGAAACATCTATTCTAGATGTTTATAGCTGAGTGGGCATCATCAAATCAAATTTGGTCATATTCAGATAATAACAACCAGGAATTTGAACTCTATCCCCACACAGAAGATTTATGATTTTGTTCACTGACAGCCACAGTATACGTAAACAATCGATTATTTAGGCAAGAGAATTTCATCCGGTATAATCAAATTACAACACTAGAATAAGCGACTAAGTCATCTTAATTTATTTCTCAACATACTATAAATACTAAATCTTAATATATGCAAAATTAAGATATTTGCTTAACAATTTTTACGACTAATGAACTTATAACTTATGAGTGGTAAAATATCTAAGATCAATTAATCTATAATTAACTTTAAAATAACTTCATTTACAGTCAGTCAGTTACAACGTAGGATCAGGCACATTTATGCATATGTCCAAGTTGCCATATCTGATTAGCACAACAAGATGAACATCAAATTCATAGAAGTAGTTAATTCAATAGTGATAATATATAAAAGAAAGGTTGCATATAAAGAGAGAGTATAGGAAGAAATAGTCAGTTCGTAGAAAGAAAGATGTAAAGCAATTATAATCTCATAGTTTAAGGGAAAACGGAGAGTGTATACACCTACACCATTGTGATCGATTCAGAGACATGTCACCAAGAGTCTCCAACCATTGGTTACGATAGTTCTTCGGATCCCAACCAAGTAGTTTGTATTAAACAACATGGCTCAAACTAGAAGTTAGTGACTTAAAGGTCTGATGCCACGTTTTGGTTTGGCCGCCTCTACAATAGTCACGTGGACCGCCACTAACTTCATTTACAAATAGATGGGAATTTATGAAAAGCTTGAGTAAATCATTGGCTAAATGACATCAAATGATTTAGAAGATAAGGTATATACTTATTAAACACTAATACACATAAGCTTTTGGTACACGTTGGATGCATAGATGAAGAGACAATAAACAATTGTGAAGAAATAAAGAAGTAGGAATATAATAAGCAAGTCAATAAGAATAGTATATAATAGAGGATACACTTCAGTTAGAAATATAATAATGGAGTACCTTTAGTTAAAAGAATGTTTTTCATTTTTATAAAGAATATAGAAGTGTACTACAGCATGATCACTATTGGTTTCTATTTTGAGCTATGTCTGATAACATCTCAAGTCAATGAATTATATAATCTTTAGGCAGTCGTGATGTACTGTCAGATGTCAGTTTTATACACTTTTCCTCTATACTCCAACACCATATCACAAACTAACCACTTCAACTTTTCCATCTAGTCCCAGCATCGGCAAATAAGTAATGCATGGTGTGGAAGCTGCTGAGATACTATGTTTTAAGAATGAGAACGCAGTGGCTATTGAAAAAATATGTACGGATTGCCCAGGAAATAACTTTCACATTTTCAACGATTCGCGTAATCTACCACGAATCCAACCAACAATCGATGATTTTATCCACGGATGTGCTATGTTTTTATTTAGCAGCCTCTAGCTTCTTTATAACGCTTTATGTTAGCTAGCTTAACTTATCGGAGTAAATAATAGTTTGGCATGTGTAACAAAATCCTAACCACTTGAGCTGATCAAGATCCATAAACCTACCAATTGAATTATCATCTCTATCAAGTGCCCTCCAAACTTGATGTCAGAATTATTCACTTTATCCAGTATCAACAGTGGATTGAAGGTAGTGTTTATAATCAAATACATTAACAGATAAACAAAATCTTTATTTTTTCAAAGACTATCCTTCACAATAGTAAACTAAACACAATAGACTGTTTTTTATGTAGTATTTATATTTATTTATTTATTTGAAAACAAAAATATTGGTACAAAGGAGCAACGAATACATATGCGCCACACAAGTCACTTGATTTGTGTATGGGCTATGATACCGCCCGGGTCAGTCAGTCAGCTACAACGTAGGACCAGGCACATATGTGCATCAGTTCAGGTTGCCATACCGCATCAGCACAATAAGATGGACACCGGATTCATAGCAGTGGTTAGGTCAAAGGTGGTAATATATAAAAGAAAGATTGCATATAGAGATAAAGTACAAGAAGAAAAAATTAGTTCGTAGAAAGAAAGATATGAAGTGATGTTAATCTCTTAGTTTAAGGGAAGACAGGGAGTGCATACACCGACGCCATTGTGGTCGATTCAGAGACATGTCACCAAGAGTCTCCAACCATCGGTTACGATAGTCACACTGACCCCAACCAAGTAGTCTGCATCTACCAACACGGCTCAGACTAGAAGTTAATGACTTCAAGCACTGATGCCACGTTTTGGTTTGGCCGCCCCTAATTCTCTTCTAACCATCTCTAACACCCGTTAGCACTGCACTTCGCGGTAATCGGTGTTCAGGCATACGTAACACGTGGCCCAACCATCTCAGTCGATGAAGATTAACAACCTCATCAACTGATTTACCATCATTCCCTAATACCCTGCGTCGAACCTCACTATTACTTACCCGGTGATCCCAACAGACGCCAGCAATATTTCTAAGGCATCTGTGGTCAAATACCAGTAGCTTACGGGTGTCTTCTACTCATAATGGCCATGTTTCGCTGCCGTAAAGTAAAACAGAACGGACTGCCGCGCAGTATACTCGTCCTTTTATTGATAGACGGATATCTCGCCTTCGCCACAGGTGACGTAAGTTGGCAAAAGCCAAACGAGCTTTTCGAATCCGTGCTGAGATTTCGTCCGATACCAACCCATTAGGGCTGATCAAACTTCCAAGATAAGTGAAGTTGTCAACGCGTTCGACTACTTCACTCCCTATCCTGAGTTCAGGTGTTGACGCAGACCAGTCCTGAAGCAACAACTTGCATTTAGAGGGAGAGAAGCGCATTCCAAACATTCTGGCATTGTTGCTTAGTGCTACCAGAAGACTCTGCATTTTATCAGCGTCTTCACCAAACAGGACTATGTCATCTTCGTATTCTAAGTCGATAAGTGGACCTCCTGGAAGGAGATCAATACCCGAGAACTCAGTCGCCGAGAAAGTTATTTCCATCAGTAGATCTATGATGAAGATAAACAAAAATGGGGAAAGTGGACAGCCTTGACGGACACCACTTGAGGTTGCAAAAGTAGATGACAGTTCGCCATAAGCTCTGACTCGACTAGTAGTGTTCGAGTAAAGAGCCTTCACAAGGTTTATGTACTTCTGAGGTACGCCTTTCAATGACAGACACTGCCACAGAATCTCGCGGTCTACAGAGTCAAATGCTGCTTTTATGTCGAGAAAGACCACCATTGTCGGACGTCGATAAGTATGCCTTTGTTCTAGAACCTGACGAATGGTGAATATGTGATCGATGCAGCCACGACCAGGTCTGAAGCCAGCTTGGTTCTCTCGTGTTTGCAGTTCACGAGTCTTAGTTAGGCGTCTGATAATTATCGAGGCTAGTATTTTAGATATTATATTAGTTAAACTAATCCCTCTGTGGTTGTCACAGGATGATTTTGACCCTTTCTTATATATTGGGACGATAAGTGATTGTGACCAGTTAGACGGGATAACGTCTAACTCCCAGATCTTAGCTAAAATATTAGTCAACCTAATCGCTAAAATTGGTCCACCATCCTTAAAGACCTATGGAGCCAGTCCATCTGGACCAGCTGGCCTTCCTCGTTTCAGACTAACTATAGCCTTTTTAACTTCAGCAAGAGTTGGGGGACCTACTTCAATGTTCCATTCACGCTGTCTGGGAATGGAGGGTAGTTGTAGAGTAGCTGACGGCCAGCTGAACTGTTCTCTGAAATGTTCCGCCCATCGTTCTAAACGTCTGGACTGGGAGCAGATGAGAGTGTCGTCTTTTTCCGAAATAATCTCACTTACACTTGACTTAATAATTCCAGTTTCTTTTATTAGTCTGTAAAGCTATCTTGCATTCCCTATAGTCGCCGCCTTTTCCATCTCTTTTGATTTCATTGCCTACCACTGCTCACGGTCGTTTCTTAGACTTTTTCTTAACTTAGATCTGATTTGTTGTCGCTCTTCATCATTTTCGGAACCTGATGGGACGAGTTTGCAAGAACCCATCAGTGTGACAGACCTTGAAGAAATCCACTGGTTCTTTGTAACTTTGTGGTTTAAGTCGCTAATAAATGTCACTGCTGTTTCCACAGCTGCTTGTATGTCTTTCCAAGCAACATCTGGGTCAGCCTCGTCTTCAGAACTACCTAATTGTGAACTCAGTTGTTCCTGGAACCTATTTTTGGTTTTCTCGTTACTCAACTCAGTTCTAATGGGTCTTTTTAATGTGGCTTTTTTGCGTCCAGTGAGGCGCAAGTAAATGCGTGCCCGTATTAGGGCGTGGTCGGAGTCCAAGCAGCTACTCCAGA